TCCACTCTGCTTGAGGTTGTCCCGTCCTCCTCCCTGCCTGAGGCTATCCCGTCCTCCTCCCTGCCTGAGGATGTCCCAGCCTCCTCCTTGCCTGAGACTGTCCTGACTTCCTCCCTGTCTGAGGCTTTGCTGTCCTCCTCCCTGTCTGAGGCCTTGCTGTCCTCCTCCCTGCCTGAGGCTGTCCCGTCCTCCTCCCTGCCTGAGGCTGTCCCATCCTCCTCCCTGCCTGAGGTTGTCCCGTCCTCCTCCCTGCCTGAGGCTGTCCCGTCCTCCTCCCTGCCTGAGGTTGTCCCATCCTCAGATTCTGTCCCTGACTCCCGTGCTTCCTGTGCCCTTGTGCTTTGGCTACCCCTTAGGACCCCCATCACCTCTTCTTCCTTCCCGGTCTCTTTGGCTCCAGACCCCTGGATCTCCTCTGCAACTGTCTCCTTGACCGTTTGCTCTAACGACCCGCTGCTGTCCCCTGCTACCTTTTGTCCATCAGCACCTACCTCCCCCTCAGGCTCCCGGTGCCAGGTCCACTCTGACTCCACCTTCCTGGCCACCTCTGGTTTTCTTTCCCTGCCCTCTTCCGCCTCCTCCTCCTGTTCCCAGGTTCTCGGTGTCTCCTCTCTGTTCACTTCCTGCTCATTGGGCCCTTGACTCTCCCGGGCTTGACTGCTATTGTCTCGACCAGCCTCAGACCCTGCCTTGGACTCCTTTCTGGCCTCTAAGTGGGCCCTTGGCTCCTGGCACCTGGCAGCCTCGGCTGCCTCCCAGACCCCAGTGTCCTGCCTGTCTGCCTGAGACCCATGGGAACTGCCTTCTTCCCAACCCCAGGTCTGTTCTGTTGCTGAACTTCCCTCCTGGCGTCTTCCAGCCTCCCCGGGCCCTCTCAGCCCTCCAGCCTCCTGATTTGGGCTGCCTCCAAGGCCCTCCAAGGCCTCCTGGGCTTCCTTCTCTTCAGGCTTCCCTGGCCTTCCTGCAGCCACCTCCCCCAGCTCCTCAGCTGCCCTCGCCTCCTTCCTCTCTGCAGTGGGGACCTCAGCTTCCATAAGGTAGGAGACAAAGGAGCTGAGGGAATCCTAGAAGAGAAGGGGGGGAGGGGACAAAGGCATTAAGGGGAGGCCCTCTCCCCCAGCCCTCCTTCTTGGGACCCTGGCCCAGAGGAACTCGGGCCACAGAAGAGGGGTTCTGGGATCTGGGAGGGGAAAGAGAACTGGATTTGCAGAAGGAAGAAGAAAGGGCTAGATTAGGGGTAGATTGATGTGTCTATGGAGGTATGGGGATTGAAATCCAGAAACGATCAGGCTAGGAGGCTACCTGATCCTGGGAAAGGGATGTCAAGTCTGAGGAGAGTCTCAAAGGGAGGAGGGAAGGAGGTGAGGCCCCAGGGAGCAGGGTGAAAGTCTCTGACATCTCTTTGCCCCTCTCACCAGTGCTCCCCGCAAGGCCTGATGCAGCCCAGGGAGATGTAGCCGGAGGAAATCCATCCTGTCTGTCTCTGTCTGTGTGTCCAGAAAGCTGACAAATGACCATCCCCACCCCACCGAGACAAGCCAGTCTTCCCCGGGGGCCCAAGATACTTCCTCTTCCCCTGTGTCTCCCTGACGCATCCCCTGTTCAGGCCCTGCCCACCCTCCGCAATGCACAGAGCAGCTTCCAGCCCTGGCTGGGAAATGGGTGTGCATCACACAGGAGACTCAGGTGCATATTTGGAGCTGAAGGGCAAGGGGGGAGGCCATAAAGAAAAACATGGGAGCAGGAGCCCTCAGAATTGGGGACGGGGGGAGGGGGGGTGTGGCAACTGCAGCTCAAGTGACTCAGGTCTTGTATTCACACCTCAGCCATTTCCGGCTCCCCCTAAGCCACAGCCACTCTGTGAGAGGAAGCTGGGGTTTGTGGTTCCTGTTTTGCCTAGGGACAAAGAGTAGGAGTGAAGAGGGGCTGGTAAGAGCTTTGGCTTCTCATTTCAGGGTCATTAATGCTTCCTCAAAGGGAAGAAGGGGCTGGATTGGTGGCCCCAGTGCCCATTCCCTCATCCGTAGTCATTCTTGCGAAACAAAACTTGGCTAAGCTTTGTATTGTGGTTATTTGTGTCTACCTCCCACCCTCCTGTGAGTTCCTTGAAGGCACAGGCCATGTATGACATGTTGCTCAGTTTGTCCCACATGGGTAGTAGGACACCATTTTTCACTGGTTGAGTAACCTGGGAAGCAGACCAAAGGGGGCACATTTCAAAGAGCAATCTGAGGACTTGGTGGTGAGAAAGAGCTGGTAGAAGTGGGCACCAGCTGGTGGAAGCCCATAGAAGAGATTAGCAGGGGAAGGACTCACTGAAGAACATTCAGGATGCTGCTTTACCACCTAGAGAAAGGTAAGAGAATAATCACTTCTTATTTTGGACTATGTGAAATGACTTTGATCTACACCTCTTCCCGCAATCCCCTCCCTGATCGCCACTTTCCAAATTTCCAATTAGAGGAACTAGATGAGATCACAGAATGAGACTCTTGGACCTTAGAATCGTCTGGTCTAAGCATTCTCGAGGCAGGCAGGAATTCTGCCGCAGCCTGCTGAGCCAAGCACACCTGCCTCTGGTGCTCTATTCCCTATTGTTAAAAGGGTCTCTAAGGTCAGCTTTAGGGCTAACCTTGTATCATCACCAGCAACTTTCCTTTTTTTGTTTTCTCATCTGTAAAACCAGGGGTTGGACTATTTCTGTGCTATTCTTTGGTTCTGGGATAATTAGGGGAAAGTGATCTCTTTAATGCTTTGGGTATTGCCAATAGACAGAAATCCTCTTAAGTGAGAGTTATCTTGATTTTCAGTTCTCAAAGCAATCTAAGGGCAACAGAGAGGAATAAGAATGCCCTGAAGCTGGCTGTCTTTGTTCCCAGCCAGAAACGGGGACTAGAGTAGCCGGGTAGCCATATCTATTTCTGGCAATCGAGGGCCGCGAAAGGAGCTGAAGTCGCTCACTGCCATGACTAGTCCTGGCACGACAGGGCCAGCACCTTGAGCGCCGCTAATTTAACGTCACGGCTCTTCTTGCTGATCCTACCCGCTCCAGTTTTAAACCAGCGGTTCCAGGGTTCTCCCGGCCTCTCTCTGACCCCCGCCCCGAGGCTGGGAAAGCCTGAAGCCAAGACAGAGAGAGGACCCGGAAGTTGTGGTGACCTCCAAGCACGTGATGAAAGCACCGCGGATGCTGTCACGTGACCCGCCAACCTGCGGTACCTCGGGGCCGAACTTGCAGCTGCTCTTAAAGGTACAGACGGCGGAGCCCCCTGCTTTAAAGGGGGCTGGGGCAGAGTCCCACGGGTGGGGCGTGGTGGGGGGTGCGAGGGCGCGAGATGGAGCCCCGGGGTAACGTGGTGGGTCGCCCGGCGCGAGTGCAGCGGAGAAGCCGGAGCTGGGACCTGCAGTGGGGCGTTGATCCTTCTCGTCTGTCGCAGACCCTCACCCGCCCGGTCGGAGCCAATTCTGGACTCTCGCAGACTTTGAACCCTTCACGGGACCTGAACTTGATGCCATGGGAGGCTGTGCGGGCTCGCGGCGGCGCCTTTTGGATTCCGAGGGTGCGTATTCCCGCCCACCCTCCTAAGAGTGACAGCCACTGCCCCGCGACCCACCTGATTCGGGGCTCGGGCTCTGGCTCGGCCCCGGGAGGACACCCGTGGGGCCCTCGTGCACCTGCGAGTGGGGTGGGGGTCATGCTCTCTTCTCGCTCTCTCAGGGGAGGAGACCACCCCGGAACCTCTGCCCCCTCTGCTGGACCGTCGGGGCGCCCTTTGGAGGAACATGATGGGTTTCTGGTGAGTGGCCCGAAGAGTTCAGCAGAAGTAAAAAATGGGGTGGGAAGAGTTGGGAAGCAACAGGAGGAAAAAGGGAAGAAAGAGTTGAGCTGCGAAAAGGGAGCTGCATTCACAAATATTTACTGAACCAGTTGGTTTGCCCTGAGGCAGCGTTTAAACCTCCAAGACTTCACTCATTTACTTCCCACCTTCACGTTTGGGCAAGATCCTACTACCAAATTTGTAAATACGTGTTTTTTTTAGAAGAAAACTTTAAGTCATTACTCTAGATGGGAAGCCAATGTTTTTCCTAATGCACGTTTTAATAAACGCATCCCCACTTTTTGAAAGGCCATCCATCTACCTCCTCAAATAGTTCCAATATTGAGCCTTGGGAAATCCTTCTAGCGCTGATCTGAACATCGAGGGCTTCGGTGGCACACTGGGTTGGAAGTGACTTCCCATGTGACTCTGAAAGAGTCCTGTCGCCTCTCTGAGCCTCTCTGGTTGCCTGCAGCAAAATGGGAAGAATGGTGGGACCACTTCGTAGGCTTGTGAAAAGAGCACATGAAATCTCTGGCACTGGGCCCAGTTCCTTTCCCATCACTGAGTGCAGCTCTGGGAAATGAGAGTAAGCAAAAAAAGATCCTTCATGGGTCATAAAGGGCTTTGGTAGGATCTTCTTTTAATCCCCACAGACCCTGTGAGGTAGTGAGAAGGAAAACCTGTGTCCCCATTTACACATGAGTAGCCCGAGGCCACTCAAGTAGGAAGCGGCAGGCTTGGAACCTGAACACAATCCTTTGGGCTTCAAGCCCCAGGAGCTTTCTACTGTTCCACAGCGCATCAGAGACAGTGGATCAGTGGATGAGAAATGCCCCAGGAACTGAACCATGGTGGGAGCTTGGAGGAGAGAGTCGTCAAGGATGACTTTCTTCTCTTCCTGGGGGAGACGAGATGTGAACCCAAGTCTGTCGTCCCAAAGCCTGTATTTCTAGCCCTAACACTGAAATGGAGATGGGGTCTGGTGAGAGAGAAGAACAAGGGAGCTGATTGAAGGCCATAGGAAGGAGAGATTTGGTGCTAGGACTGTGACTAGATTGTAAGCCTGGAAGGAGGTTAAGATCTGTTCTTATATGTCAGTTATATCTCAATAAAACGGAAGGGGAAAAAAGTCTATCCTGCTCACTCCAGGCTCCTGGGCCTTTGCAACAACTTCTCTTACGTGGTGATGCTCAGTGCTGCCCATGACATCCTTAGCCACCAGAGGGCATCTGGGAACCAGAGCCATGTAAGTGACCCTCTCTACCGCCACCACCATGTTTAGTCCTTATGGGGAGATGAGGGACTCACTCTAGAGCAGGGACCCCTCTGAAAAACTCATGGTATGGGGTGGCCAAGGGGTGGGCCAAGGGGACTAAAGTTCCCAGTCTCCCAGACCACAGAGCAGGAAGGGTTTTTAAGAATCAGTTGGTGCCACGTATACAAACTCAGATGTTGGCCGGGTGGGGCCGTGGCCTAAGACAGCGTTTCTTAACCCCAGCGCTGTTCATTTTAGGCTGGAGAATTCTTTGTTGTGGGGCTTTCCTGTGCATTGTACGGCGCTTAGCAGCACTCCTGTTCTCTACCAGCAGCATACCCCCTGTTCTATAGTTGAGACAAGAATGTCTCCAGACATTGCCCAATGTTCCCTGGGGGGTATAATCACCTCCAGTTGAGACCCTCTTGTCTGCGATGAGCTGGGGGCAGGGCGGGGGGTGGGGGGAGTACATGCCGAAGGAGTGCAGCTGCCACCTTGCAAATCCAACAGGGAGTCTGGTCCAAGGTCAGCTTTTCTGGAAACCCATTTTTTTTTTCTTGGCTGAGTAGCTACAAAGACTTGATCAAATTATTTAAAAACGTTGGCATTTACATATTCGCGTGTCTACATAAAACAGTTACTTGGAATCCTCAGGTCAGGGGTTGCTCGGGTGGTCCACACATGAGCCTGGCAGGGAAACAGATGAGACCAGGCTTGGAGCCACAGGGCTTTAAAAAACTGGATGTCCTCCTAGGGGCCTAAGAGGAGTAGGGCGAAGAGGAAAGGGTCACATCGGGGGTTTAATTTAACCCCACCCTCACAGATCTCTAAGTGAAACTCCTTTCCCATTCTCAGGGGAGAGAGACCCATTTCCAGACCATAGCTCTACTGCATATACACCCAATCCCTAAAATCGAAGTGGTAACCACACCCAAGCATCCACTGGAAGAGGTCCTTATAAAATATTTATATCAGAGAAAACAAGGCACTTTGGGAGCATTACAGCTCACTCTCCTACCTGTACATTGTTCTAGACAGAAAGTAAAAATTTAGAAGCCCAGATTTTTGAAAATGAAAGCTCCTGAATGTGTTACCCAAGTAGAGCCCATTTACGGGGCCATCTTTGGCCTTTGGGTCCTTAGTTTGAGCTTTCTACAGTAACCTCACCTCCCCGTTATGCACGTAGAGAAACTGAGGTCCCAAGAGGCCAGTGTTGACCCAAGGCCATCCCTCAAGTTAGGGCTGAGCTGGGACTGGAGCCAGGTTGTGTCTCCTCTTGCCTCCCTGGGTGAAAGACTTTCCTCTGTCATCAGGTGGACCCAGACCCACCGCCCACCCCCCACAATAGCTCATCTCGATTTGACTGCAACTCTGTCTCCACGGCTGTGAGTACCCATCTGGTCCCCCCCGACCCCCGCCCCGTCCCTCAGCACCCAGCTGCGACCACCGTGATTATAATAATTAAGACCATTTCCTGAGCCTTTTCCTGCATTGGCTCATGTCAGTCCTATGAGCTAAGTGCTGTAACCACCCCCCATTTTCCAGATGAGGGACCTGAAGCTCTGGACACAAAGCTAAGGAGCAGCAGAGCTGGGATTTGAGCTCAGATCTGTCTGACTTCAGAGCCTGTGTCTGCAGCAGGTCGACCTGGCTGGTGTCTGTCTTCCCCCGGTCACTTGGTTGGGAGGCTTGTCCCTGGGACCGTCTGGGGTCTCACTCTGTTCTGTTCCAGGCCGTGCTCCTGGCAGATATCCTCCCCACCCTCGTCATCAAATTGCTGGCTCCTCTTGGTCTGCATCTGCTACCGTACAGGTCTGAGTGGGGGTGGCGGGAGGAAGGTCTGGTGGGGCCTGAAGAGCGGGGAGGCCGGGAGGGCTACAGAAGTGGTGGGAGGGTTGGGGAGTTGTGGGCGGAGGCCGACCTTCCTCTTCCCTCCCAACCTCTCGCCCTCAGCCCTCGGGTTCTCGTCAGTGGGGTTTGTGCTGCTGGGAGCTTCATCCTGGTGGCCTTTTCTCATTCAGTGGGGACCAGCCTATGTGGTGAGTGTGAGGTTTTGTGTCAGGTGGGGAACCCAGAGGAACGGAAACAGAGCATTGTGGGGTAGTCTCCCCCAACTTCTGAGAGGAAAGGGATTGTTTTTGTAAGCCTCAGAAGCCTGCTGGGACTGTCACAAGTAGGAGATGGGAGATGAGGTCATTTTGGAGGATGGGTGGTGGTTGGGGTCGGGGGTGGGGGACAGGGATAGGAGGAAATGGATGGAGTATATGGAGCTTGAGATGAGCAGAGTCACCAAGACGCCGTGACGGGGGCAGCTGAGGCGTCAAGGATGAGTTCTTGCTCCGGAGTTGATAACTGGGTAGATGGAGGTCCCGTTCCCTATGAGAGGGCATGCAGGGGAGCGGGTTGGTTCTCCTTCAGATCTGAAGCCCCCCCCC